CTTTGTATGTTGGATCCTGCAATTGTTGTTGGCTGGTTTTGCCCCCTGTCGCGTTAGCGGTGAATTTCACGTTTTGTGTGCCTTCTGTGCGACTAGGATCCGCGGGTCGATTCTTGATTTTCGCATTTTGTAGTCAAGTCCTACCCTCCTTACGCCTTTGTATGTTTGATCCTACAATTGTTGTTGGCGGGCTTTGCCCCCCTGTCGCGTCATCGGTGACTTCCACGTTTTGTTTGCCTTCCGTGCAACTGGGATCCGCAAGTCGGTTCTTGATTTTTTTTGTTTGCCAAGGGAGCCTGCCCCCCCCCCCCAGTCGAGGGTGTGCTGGAAGCGGATCGTCAACTGACGGACATGTGGCACGCACTGGTTCTTTCGCTTGGGCGGTGATTTTGAATTGCTGATTGGACGTGTTAGCGCGGTTTCCGAAGAGTCATTCTGACGGCTTGCCTCCTCCTTTTTCGATTATATATACGGGGTCGTTGTGTTTGGGATTAACTCACTTGCTTCATTTGTCAAAAGAATTCAAGGGTTTCTTCTTTCTCTTCTCCTTTGCTCATACTTTGCTGCTCGTAGCCTCGTCTTCGATTCCGATCATCGTTTCTTCGCCCCTTGTTTATTCCGGATTCAAGATGGACGCCGAGAAGATCGTCGCTCAGGCCGTGATCGAGATCGACGATGGAGGTAATGATAATTCTGATCCCTCTGTAGAATTTATGGAGGTAGGAGTAGAGTTGGATTAGTCCTCTTTTGGCGATGCATTGTCGGAGATTCCAGGTTTTGACTCTGTTGACGACAACGATTTCCTTCGGAGTTCCTCCAATGGGAATCTTGTCGTGATGACGCCGATCAGAATGTACGGGGAATGCACATCGAGGAAGGCTAGTGTAGAGACAAAGGGAAAGCGACGATGGTGGCGGGAGAAAGTAGCAGCACCGCCGATGAGATGGCGATCAAAAATTTGCTTGCACTGTCGAAGCCCGATGACAGCTCAGTTTTCGCGCTTGTGCGTACAACAGAAGTTGTGGCGCAGTTAGGGATGAACTCAGTTGGGGCTGGCTACACCATTTTGGATTGGGCGGAAATGTTTGAGGGAGTTAATGTTCCATCTGAGCACCTGTTGCGCTGTTCCGATCACGCTTTCATTCTCAGCCGAGATGATGTGTTGCGGTACATGTGCGGTCTCGGCCTGCCGCCGCACTGGCAATATGCCATTTTGTCGGAATTCAACCGCGTTGGCAATTGCCCCCCCCCCCCCCCCAGAGTGGTTCGGCGTTTATACTGAATATTGCCGGATGGGATTTAAATTTTCCATTGAGCCATTTCTTTGTCGGTTGTATGACCTGGTAAAGTGTTCGTTGGCGCGCTTTTCTCCCTCAGTGATCTTTCATATATGTGTGTTGCGCGCCATGTGTAAGTGGCAGGACTTAATTTCTACATATGGTCTCTTCCGCAAGATCTACAAGTTGAAGGCTCAGCGGTCAAGTGGTCCAAAGAAAGGGAATGACCTTTCGATTAAGCGTCAAGATAACAACCCCAACGATTATGTGTACGGGTCGCCCAAGCTCGACAACGATTGGTTCAAGAAGTTCTTTTATGTTAAGCCGACTACTGGGGAGTTTGCCGACTTGCCTGTAACCTTCCCCTCTTCGTGGTCTAATTGCTTTGTAAAAGACTTCAAATCGACTGTGGGGAGTTGTCCGCAATTCCAGAAGGGTTCACACGAAGCCGTGCTTAGCGAGCTATACATTTATGGTTAGTGTTCTCTCTCTTTTGGATAGTCTCTTGTTGTATTAATCGATTTTTTACAACTTATCTTTGTAGGGGTGGATTACAACTCTGTCGTGTCAATGATCACTATGGAGGAACTTCCAGCGCCATCGAGGGGCAGCGAGAAGAGGGAGAAAGCGAGTGCGGCGACGAATCCGAAGGTGACCAAGGTGGACGGAGTTGAGTCGGGATCGAGGTGGCATCTAAGAAACCTCCGAGGTCGGAGAAAGGTGGAAGTGGAATCAATGGTGGCTTAACGGCGCGAGCGGAGAAGGTAGCGGGCGGGAGTTCCGGGGTCCAGCACACACAGCAGACCTTGCCGGATATGACGGTCTTTCAAGATATGGCGAGCCAATATCGGGATATCAAATTACCGATCGCAGCCGCATAAACTCATCCAGTCGTGCAACTTGCATTGAAGGATGTTGGTGCTGCCCTTGCTCTTCCTGCCAGAATGGAAAGCAACCATCCATATACGGATTTGGCACACGATCAATTTAAGGTTCGCGCGTTTTTTTCTCTTTTTTGTGTCAAGTTGTTGGGCGGTTGGGTGGATGGATATCATCTATGTTTTGTGGTAGGTAATGGTGGCCAGCTTTCGCGCGCATAAGGAAGGGGTAGATGTCATGGCGCGACTGGACTCGTAACAGGCTTAGGTGATCCACCTGCAAGGTCAAGCGGATGGCACTGAGAGGCGTGTTTCCTCGATTAAGAAGAAGTGTGACGATGCTCTTGCTCATGTGGATGAGCTGACTCGCAAGCTGAATGATGATCTCTCTGCCGAACGGGAGAAAGCGTGGGCTGAAGAGCGGGCGAACATCCGGGCAGAGTTGGAGCGGGAGTTCGAGGAGGAAAAGAAACTTCATGAGAAGGAGTTGGAGCGTGTTAGATCAGAGTCCGCGAGTGAGAATGAGGCGGTGAACAAGAGGCTGGAGGAGTTTGAGCAAAAGGCCGATGTTGAAAAAGTGGCGTCTGCCACGAAAACTATCCAGACGTACAAGCAGTCACCCTCATTTAGGAAGCATCTGGAGGACTCTATGTACCGTACCATTGTGTCGGTGCACAAGAAGTAACCCCGGGGGTCAATGGAACACCCGTGACATGGTGCGCCATGTGTAGCGGTTTTTCGCGGAGAATCGGTCAATGTCAGATGACTCCGAAAGCAAACCGATGAAGAAGTCATTGCTGGGTGTGGAAGTGGTGTTGCTGCTAATGTCCGATTTGTGTTGCTTAGTTGTTTCTTTTTTACTTCCTCCTTTTTTGATCCGTTGGATATGGAACTGCGTTTTCAATTTCCCGCTATGACAATCCCTTTTTGCGTTTGGAATGAAAGCCACTTGTACGTTTGACCCATATTTTTACTATCTGGGCGCTTTATTTTTATGGACGTACTTTTTTTAACCAATTGACGTGATCACTTTTTTTTTTGCGAGAATTATGTTCTCATAGTAGAGAGGCAGATCCGCACTCGTTTATTTTGCATTGAGAATTTTGTTCTCATAGTAGAGAGGTTTATTCCGCACTAGTGTATTATTGAGATTCTGTTCACGCCGTTAGATAATAGTGGTGTTGCGTAGGCTCCTCTGATAAAGCACCAGGGGGTGCTTTTGATCAAAGTAACGCAGCCAACCAAACTCTCGAACGATAAGTGATGGATACATAGAATTTCGTCACAATCAAGGTGATTACTTGATTGATAAGAAACTTGTAAAACGAATCTGGAATCCTCACAAAAAATTTTGACGAGGGTTCTCGAATTAGCAATGGAATCCTCACAAAAATAACTCAAGGATTTGTTTCTTGAGACACAACTCAAAGACTCAAAAACTCACGTAGGAGTAATTTTCATTCAACTCAACTCTGTCTTACAACGTGAATTTGAAAGCTATTTAAAGGAAATAAAACCCTAATACAAACCTCATGTAGCTAGGAAACAATTAGGGTAAAAAAAACTCTCTTTCTTCAAGCACAAGCAAGTTGCCTTTTAGCACAAGCAAACTATCCAACAATAGCTTTCGTACTAACTTCGTGCCATTCGTTCGAGGCCTTCCAGAACTCCAATTCTTCATCCAATTCCTTCCCTTTGTTCAAAAACATACCTAGTTTCATGTTGTGGAAGTCTTTTGACTTGAGTCCCATCCATGCTCCTTGAATTGAGCTCCAAAGTAGGCTTCACAAAACAGTTTTTTGCCTTAGCAATTTTCTGGCAGTTTTCCAGTTTTGAGGTAGCAAATTTGAGGCCTTGGAAAACAACCTTAATGACATCTTCTGGATCCAAAAAGCATACCATTGGAAAGATGGCAACTGTATGTTCAAAACAAGCCCTTGATATCCAATTTCCATTAAGCCATTTGTGAGATACATGCTTCCAAAGTAGGTACCCTGAACACGGATTTTGACTTGGCCAAATTCTACCCTTCTTCCCAACTTGCATAGCTTCTTCGTCAAGTAATTTTGGCTCGTTGGTTAACCTATTTGGGATCATATCAGGCTTCCCCTCTTCAAAAATCTTTGCCCTCAAAGCTTGATCTTTCTTCCTTTCAAAATCTGCACAAAATTGATCCCAAATGAGGTCGAAAGTGGGCCGTTCAAACACATTCTTCGGCAGAAAATTTACAGCTTTGAATCCGACTTCAAGCTGTTCCAACACTTTCGAAGCTAGCAAGGCTGTTGGAAACACCTCCTGGGGTTGAAACAAACTTTCCCCACCATCCAATTTTGCCAGATTTTGATTGGCGCAATTTCCAGATTCCGGCGGTTTCGAGTTTTCCGGCGAGAGCTCCAAAAATGGGGCTTTCTTCTCAAAGCCATTTCGAACCAATTCATCACTTTCAGTAGATTCGTCTCGATGACAGGGTTTGATTTCAACCCTTCTTGCGTCTTGACTCACTTCTACTGTCACTCCAGGAATTGGCCAAGTGAAACCACTTCCTAAAGCGTAGTATAGCGGGTTTGGGTTTAATTATCAACCCGGGTCCTAGATTTGATGACTACTCAGTGAATTCTTGTTATCTAGCAATGAAACTATAATGCAAGTCTAAACTAACAAACTAGCAAAGCAAGTAAATAGTTGTATTCAGGTTAAGAGAAGTCACCCGGATATTGGTCCCCCTAGACTGCAGTTAAGCCGGATTGTAATTACCAAGTTCAGTTTCTATGATAGTTATACTGCGGAAGGTTCTTAAACAGCCTGAAGTCTCGACTAAAGGTCTTCAGACCCTCTCAATCTGAGTCTCTAGCGGGCGACTAACCTCCACCGGAGTAAACAGATTGAGGCCTTAACGAACAAAACCTCCACTACCGGAGTAAATCCGGTACAGAATAGTGAGTTGGCTCCTCGACTAAAGTCACCAACTCCCTACCTTCAATCAAGGATGCTCTATCAACCTAGGCAGATATTCTCATTCTAGGTTAAAGCAGAAACAACAGGAATTTGATCAGGATTCAAGTCATTCAATCATTCAAACCTCAATCGAATATAACCAAATCATAGAATCAGTACTTGGGTTCATACAATCAAAGCCTAACATACAAATCTAGGGTTCTCCATACCCAGATGAATGGGAGAACTACTCCATGGAGAAAGAAGCAAAAGCAGAATCAGACGCGGAATTCATACTGTGAAGGATGGATTCCTGCTTCTGGATGTTGATCGGCACTTCTCCAAGCTCAAACTGGCCTCCAATGGTGTTGAAGATCAATCTAGGGCACTTGGAGACTCTTGTTCGTCGCTTTCTCTCTCTAGGAATCGTTCTCTCTCTCAAAAACTCGAATCCCCTTCTGTTTGGCTGAAAATCTGCTTAAAAGGGCATCAGTGGCCAAAGCACGGTCGAGGGCACGGCCGTGCTTTGCCTAAGCCCGCCCGTGCTTTGGCTAGTGTTAATTACACGGCCAGTGCAATGGGGGAAACACGGCCGTGTTTCGCGGTGGGCACGGCCGTGCTTTGCGTGAACACGGCCGTGCTTTCAGCCCGTGTTTGCAGCTGAATTTGCCAAATCAATTAGCTCTCGGTATAAAAAGCACGGCCACCAGAACACGGTCGTGTAATGATTTGGGTGTGCCCGTGTTTTGGCTCCAGCTTGACGAAATGACCTCCGAATGCCCCGAAACTCCCGCTTAGCCTTCCCTTTGACACCTGGGACCTGAAACATGACAAAATAGCACAACCCGGCGTAAAATAGGCCAAAACACACGACTATGCCCCTCAAACGGATAAGAACTAGGGGCGCAAATATGTGCAATTACATCGTTATCAAACTCCCCCACACTTAACCGTTTGCTTGTCCCCAAGCAAACCTAACTCAAACCAATGCAACTCTCCAGACCTCTATAGCAACAAACAACCTAGATCATAGGTAGAGGACTTCCTAGATCATTTAGCAACTTACGAGGTCAACCGACGCACAAGTCATCTCATAGCTTCTTCGACGAGAGCACTAGTATCGAGTCGACATCATGGCAAATAGTGAACAGAGGACAAATGAATTGTGGATGAAGAGATTCTCAAAAACAAAGGATCATGGACTCACATTTTTCAAGGTGCTCTATTTTCTTCTTGAAGATGGTTGGAACCCCTTTTCTTTCTGTTTTGCTTGTTTTCTGTTATTTTATTTTCTTTTATTTTTCAAGGGTCCCAACCTGCTCTTACCGGCCATGCCAGGAGCGGATGTCTCGAGCCTCGTGCGGGGGAAAGACATGTAAGGGGGCTGGAGGTAGTAGGTGGAAATTGGGAACGAATTCCCGTCTCCCCTTACACACTTTCACCCTATTCGCACGGGAGACGTTATTTCAAAGCACATTTCTGAGCACCTGTTATTTTCAAAACATGATACAAGAGTCCACGACCGGTAGAGAATCCATAACACCACACAATTCAAGGGTCCTAAGATCACTAATTCACTCAATCAACCAACACAATATGAAGAAGCAATGAGACTTCTTAAATGCATCAACATCCTCCATAGTGCTACACTACCTCCCTAGGTTGCATATTACTATAAAGACTGTCAATTCAAAGCATACTGAGCAAGCAATTGCAAGGAAACACGTACTTGGAGCCCTCAAATTTAAAAATTTGGACAGTGGACTAGGCTCCAAGCACACAAACAGATCTAATGCAGTCAAAAGATAAACATCCCCCCACACTTAAGATCGACATTGCCCTCAATGGAGAAGAGGGAAGGAAAAGGGGAACGATCTTACCGGTATGCACGGACTGCAGGGGACTGGAAACGAACCAGTCGGAGTGCAACGGACTGGAGAGGGATCAATTTGGAACAAAGCACATCTAAAGGGGAACAGAAGAGCTCAAACACAGTATGTTAGGTCCAATGTCAGCCCAATAAGACATCATCCAAAACAAAAGAAAACAAACCAAAACCAAACTGGTTTACAATCCGACTCAAAACACAAGAAAGAAAGTGAAACCGTGGTGGGGTTGCCTCCCCACAAGCGCTTCTTTACCGTCTTTTAGCTGGACGCCCATGGTGGATACTCAGGGCGGTGCAGGAATAGGTGCCTCCAAGAGCGGATCCACGTCGCTCTTGAGGTACAGCTTCAGGTTGTGGCCATGCACCCGACGGATGCGACCACCATCATCGGTCAGCTCGACCTGGCCATCCGGCAAGATGCAGGCGAGTGAGTACCCGGACGGCCAGGGTGGTCGTGGTGCAGAAGGTGGAACCAGCTCGTAGTGGTCTCCACCCTTCTTCCGTGCAGGCTTAGAAACCTGCTGCTTCGGCCGCCACTCCTCCTTGACCTTTTTGTTCGGAGGTGAGACTGGATGGAGTGGCAGCGAAGGAATGATAGGAGGGTCCTGCAAATGAGAGGTGCAGAGGGATACACGACAGGCTCGTGTACCTGATCAGACATAGCATGCAGAGGGGTGACAGCAATCATAGCACAGTGATCGAATTCAGTCACAGAAAAAGTAGCTTGTTCAGTCCCAGCACGCAAGATCAGTTTACCATCATGCACATCAATAAGTGCCTTGGCGGTGGCAAGAAATGGCCTACCTAGAATCAAAGGCACATCCACATCCTCATGTATATCAAGAATAACAAAATCAACAGGATATGTGAATGCACCAACACTAACAAGCAGATCCTCTATGATTCCCCTAGGATGCACAATGGAACGATCAGCTAGCTGAATGCTCATCCTAGTAGGGCTAAGTTCACCTAAGTCTAGCTTCTTAAACAACTTATATGGCATGACGTTTATGCTAGCGCCTAGGTCCGCCAAGGACTTGCCTACATGCATGCTGCCAATAGTAAGAGGGATAGTAAAACTCCCTGGATCCTTGCGCTTCTCGGGCAGCTTGTTCCGCAGGATAGCAGAACACTCCTCGCTCAGCAACACTGTCGAGAGATCTCCAAGTTTCTTCTTGTTGGTGAGGAGGTCTTTCATGAACTTGGCATACTTGGGCATCTTCGACAGTGCCTCCACAAACGGTATGCTGATGTTGAGCTGCTTCAACATTGCCATGAACTTGGCAAACTCAGTCTCCAGCTTGTCTTTATGTAGGCGAGTGGGGAAGGGAAGCTGGGGCACATGCTCCTTAACCACTGGTTGTGGCTTGGGAGCAGGGGCTTCCTTCTCCACCCGCACTTCTGCATCGTCGGCTGGAAGTGCTGAAGCAGGTAGTGGTTCCTCCTGTCTGGCCGGGACAAGATCAGCGGATATGGTCTTACCACTCCTGGTAAAAATGGCATCCAGCTGCTGGAGCTGGTGAGGATCCCGAGGATTCGGGATAGTGGTGGCAGGCAGAGTCCCCGGTGCCCTGGTAGTGTTTTGGCGGGCCAAAATGCCCACCTGGGTCTGCAGATCTTGCAAAATGGCACCCTGGTTCCGCTGACCTGCCTCCAGTGACGTGATAGCAGCCTGAGTGCTAGTCATGAATGAAGCTAGAATATTTTCCAGCTTTGTCATCCGGTCATCTGGGGCAGGGGCTGCTGCTGGCTCGACAAACTGATGCTGGGGCTGTTGGAATGGTTTCCCCTGCCTAGGCTGGTAGGGCTGCTGTTGTGGGGCTGGCCCCGGTCGAGCCTGGAAGGGCTGCCTCTGCTGAAAACCACCTGCTGGTGCTGGGAACCCAGGTGGTTTAGTGGTGTTGCTGCTCCAGGCGAAGTTGGGATGCTGGCGCCACCCCTCATTATATGTGTTGCTGTACGGGTCGAGGCGCCGAGCATTGGCGATGAAGTCCAACTGCTCTTGGGGAGTAGTAGACTCCCTCATAGCCTGACAGTCTTCCACTAAGTGATTCGAGCTCTCACACCACTGACATTGAGCAACTGGAGGTGTAGCCAAACCTCTACCCGGAATAAGACTGTTGGGCTGCTTCAGTGTCTGCACTAGCTCAGCTACCTGCTGCTCGAGCCCGGATCTGGTCTCCATGGCGTGCACACCATGGTCCCAGGACTGTCTGCCTCGGCTACCTTGTCCCCAAGAATGATCTCTGGCAGCCAAAGTGCTGATCATCTGGTTCAGCTCGGGTGGAGTCTTAGTAAGAATATCCCCTCCTGGGCATAGAGACTCAATCACCCTCTGGCTGTCTGGAGAGAGAGCACTGTAGAAGTTCCCCACTGTGAAAGCATCACTAAAGTCATGATGGGGACACTGCCAGAAATATCCCATGTACCGCTCCCAAGCATCACGAAGTGACTCATCTGGCTCTTGGCGGAAGTGAGTGATCTCCCGCTGAATCTCTGTAGTCTTCGATGCCGGATAGTACCTGTGCACGAATTTGTCAGCCAGATCGTCCCAAGAGGTGATGGACAATGGGGGCTGGGTATCCAACCACCTCTTAGCATTCCCCGCCAGAGAATGGGGGAAGAGATGAAGGCGGATTGCATCATCCGGGACACCATTCAGCTTGAACCCGTTCGTCAGCTGCAGAAAACGGGAAAGATGCACCTTGGCCTCCTCATCCTTCAAGCCATGGAACTGGATAGAGGATGTAATGAGCTGAATCCAGCATGGCTTGATCTCGAAGTTATTTGCTGGAATAGGCGGGTAGAGGATGACCGGGCGGATGTCAGCAATCCGAGGAGTGTAGTAGTACTCCAAGGTGGGACCCGGCTGCGGTGGATGATGAACCCCATGATCCTGGGGTATGGGGTTGTTTCCCAGGACCTGATTCACTGGGGGAACCTGCTGCGGATTCCCCTGGTGTTGATTGTAGTCTCCGTCCATCTCGTGCTCTTCTTCAGAATCGCTACTCAAGTGGCCGTCTATGCGCTCTTCCGTAGCCAGTCTAGCTCGCTGTTGTCTCCTGAGCTGGCGACAGGTGCGGTCAATCTCTGGATTCAACGGCAGTAAACCTCCTGACTGGCTACGGGTCATGCACTACCTGCACACACTCAAGCAAGCAAACCCGTGAAGGCACAAGTGGGACAAAGCAAACAAAGCAAAAAGAAAAGCTAAATTAACAGAAATCACTTTTCTTCAACAACCTAGCCGTCCCCGGCAACGGCGCCAAAAACTTGACTCACTTCTACTGTCACTCCAGGAATTGGCCAAGTGAAACCACTTCCTAAAGCGTAGTATAGCGGGTTTGGGTTTAATTATCAACCCGGGTCCTAGATTTGATGACTACTCAGTGAATTCTTGTTATCTAGCAATGAAACTATAATGCAAGTCTAAACTAACAAACTAGCAAAGCAAGTAAACAGTTGTATTCAGGTTAAGAGAGGTCATCCGGATATGGTTCCCCCTAGACTGCAGTTAAGCCGGATTGTAATTACCAAGTTCAGTTTCTATGATAGTTATACTGCGGAAGGTTCTTAAACAGCCTGAAGTCTCGACTAAAGGTCTTCAGACCCTCTCAATCTGAGTCTCTAGCGGGCGACTAACCTCCACCGGAGTAAACAGATTGAGGCCTTAACAAACAAAACCTCCACTACCGGAGTAAATCCGGTACAGAATAGTGAGTTGGCTCCTCGACTAAAGTCACCAACTCCCTACCTTCAATCAAGGATGCTCTATCAACCTAGGCAGATATTCTCATTCTAGGTTAAAGCAGAAACAACAGGAATTTGATCAGGATTCAAGTCATTCAATCATTCAAACCTCAATCGAATATAATCAAATCATAGAATCAGTACTTGGGTTCATACAATCAAAGCCTAACATACAAATCTAGGGTTCTCCATACCCAGATGAATGGGAGAACTACTCCATGGAGAAAGAAGCAAAAGCAGAATCAGACGTGGAATTCATACTGTGAAGGATGGATTCCTGCTTCTGGACGTTGATCGGCACTTCTCCAAGCTCAAACTGGCCTCCAATGGTGTTGAAGATCAATCTAGGGCACTTGGAGATTCTTGTTTGTCGCTTTCTCTCTCTAGGAATCGTTCTCTCTCTCAAAAACTCGAATCCCCTTCTGTTTGGCTGAAAATCTGCTTAAAAGGGCATCAGTGGCCAAAGCACGGTCGAGGGCACGGCCGTGCTTTGCCTAAGCCCGCCCGTGCTTTGGCTAGTGTTAATTACACGGCCAGTGCAATGGGGGAAACACGGCCGTGTTTCGCGGTGGGCACGGCCGTGCTTTGCCTGAACACGGCCGTGCTTTCAGCCCGTGTTTGCAGCTGAATTTGCCAAATCAATTATCTCTCGGCATAAAAAGCACGGCCACCAGAACACGGCCGTGTAATGATTTGGGTGTGCCCGTGTTTTGGCTCCAGCTTGACGAAATGACCTCCGAATGCCCCAAAACTCGCGCTTAGCCTTCCCTTTGACACCTGGGACCTGAAACATGACAAAATAGCACAACCCGGCGTAAAATAGGCCAAAACACACGACTATGCCCCTCAAACGGATAAGAACTAGGGGCGCAAATATGTGCAATTACATCGTTATCACGTCTCGAATCTGTCCAACTTGCCCCCATTCGAAGCCCACAAATTTCGCGCCATCGACAAATTCAAAATTTTCAGATTCCAGCGAGGGAAACCCAGAAACCGGCGACTCAGTTCCAGAATCCAGCGACGCCAAAATTAAATTGAGCATTTTGTATTCC